CCAACGGCCCCGGCACTGGCCCCTGGTGCTGTCTGCAGCCCTGGAAACAGCTGTCCATACAGAATCTATGCCCTCCAGCCAGAGCCGCATCTGTTCACTGGCGGCCTCAGGTCACCCCGGCTGGAAGAGACTCCTCAGTGTCCAATGTGGCTTGTGACCAGGGCGTCAGTGTCCCTGTGACTCTACTGAAATGCAGCCCAGGCCAGGCCTGTGGAACCAGACCTATGCTCTAACTGGATGCCCAGGAGATTCGGGACACAGGAAGGGTGGAGAGTTGTGAGCCGGACCCCTTGCTGGGCACATGGGGAGACCAGGCCTGGGTGGGCACTCTCACCGGCATCAGACTGGTGTCAGCACTAGGCCTGGGGTGCTCAGTGCACCGGCTGTCGCCCTGAAGGAAGTGAGGCTGCTTGCTGAGCAGAACTCAGTGGAGGAGCGCCAGCAGGCCCTGCAGGGGGCGGTGCAGGGCCCCTAGGAGGCTGACCAGGCAGGGCTGGTGTGGGGCACAGACTGGCCAGACCCTGGGGCATGGAGATGCACTGCCCTGGGGTGGGGCCCGAGGCCAGCCTTCCCTCCTATCATGTCCTGTCCAGGCTGCTGGACTCATGGCTTAGAGGCCCCCAGAAGGGAAGGGTCGGCTTCACTCAGCCCCGCGCTCAGAGCGAGGACCCTGCCCACCCGGCATCTGTGGCTGCCCCGGTGCTGGCCGGCTGCCCAGCTGCCCCAAGCACAGCCTTGCTCCTGCTCCTAAGACGCGCTGGGGCCTGCTGGCCAGGCCTCCGGACGGGTGCACGTGCGTGGGCTTGTGACCTCCATGCTGGCCCGGGGCACCTCGCGCTGCAGTCGGCCGGCTCGGTGAGGTCACTGCTGTATAGACTCACGGGGACCCGAGTGACCGCCGAGGAGTGCGGCACACACACCAGGAACATCTCCTTCTGAGCTTAGGCCCCGGGCTGCTTCCCTGCCCCTCCACGGCTCACTGCTGAAGACAGACCATGGTCTCCCCCCTGGGAGGCACAGGGCTGCGGCTCTGAGTAGCTTCGCATGCCACTGCTGGTCCCAGGCCGGCTGCACCCCCAGAAGCCCCCC